CAGGGGGCGCGTGGCGGCCCAACGGCCCCGGCCTGGCGGCGGCCGCCCGGAGGGGCGCTGGGGAGGGAACGGGCGGTTCGCCTGGCTCCTGCCGGCAGCTTCTTCCTCTTTGTCTGGGGCTTTGGGTTTTTTTCGTGAATATGGGATTCGGCCTCTTCCGGCCCACGTCATTTCAGCGGCAGCGCGGAAAACCTTAAAGGTGTGCTGTCTCTGGGTAACACTGCTCCGCAAAGTCTTCTTACAGCCCTACACAGGTGTATGTAAAGAAAAAATTATGCTGAGCACCTGCTGGCAGTGCTGTGGAGTATTGTGTTTGTTAAACACCCGTGAGAAAATGTTAAGTCGTTTGCGTTGGGTGGAAGCAAAGACCTCATGCTACTCTAAATAGGCTCTTCGGGAATAGATACAGAAAAAGCTTTTCAGGATATTAAGTCACCCATATGTTTGGTAGTAGAAATGCGCTAGTGTGCCATTTTAAATAGATACTGTGATTATTCTTGCAGAAAGGTTAAAAACGTGCAACCCATACTTTAGAAAATGGAAGATACATCGGACAGTTGCTTTGGAGTTGTTACAGAGGAAGGGTCAGGTGCAGAGCAGCCATCTGCATCCTCAGAAAGAGCAGTCGGAGAGGCCAAGAACGTGGACCCAGCAGAGAAGCCTCTGCTTTCAGAAGCTACAGGCACTGCACAGTCAGAGGAGGGCTGCGAGCAGCAGTCTTCTCTGGAGCAGTCAGCTGTGAAGGAACAGGAGCAGTCAAGTTTAGCACAGTGGCAATTACCCAGCGAAGGAGTAGGCAATGAAGAAGTGATTGGAAATAATGAGCAAGATGTATTTGAGCCAGATGCCCCATTCAGTGCATCACCTGAGAGCACATCTCCTGTTACCAATGAGAATTATTCTACCTCACTTGAATTCAGAAATTCAGAAAGGGAAGAACAAACATGTCAAAACTCAGTACTGTCAGAGAATATGGCAAGTGGGACAGTAACAGGTAAAGAAGTTACTAAAATGTTGTACATTAAGGCTTTAAAGAGGTTTTTTCTTCAACTTGATTATGGCTTCTTGCACCCCCCACACCCTCATTCTGTTCATGTTTGCTGGTTTTTGGTCTTGGAGTGGCTTTTTAAATTCTCATATAAAACATGCTTGAAAAGCTGAGGAATGTATTCTTTATCTCAAGTTGTAGTAGCAATTTACAGACTAACATGGCATTTTATAGTGATCTTCATTTCCACAAACGTGCGTGAGTATGTACATGTGCTTTGTACATGCATTTGAAAAACAGCAGTGCATAATTCACATGAGTACATGGGCTACTACCCGTTAGACTAGAACATAGCAATCTCCTTACTACTTCATGTCTCTTAGATTCCCCTGTAACTTACCTGCCACCCTTCCGTTATGCATGCCTTTCTCCTGCAGTCCCCGAAACACTCCATTTCCTGCACTTGATCCTCTCCATTCTGGGTGTCCTGTGTTACTTCCTCTTCCCAGCTCAGTGCCCCATTTTCTTAGGTCTTCAGAGCAGAAGGTAGCACATCCCATTCAGCAGGTGAGCATGGTAAGGGACCCTTTGGAGCATGGATCTGCGGACGGCTTTCCTCTTGGCTGACTGCATTCAGGTGCTCTCATTCTGAGTAGCTGGCGATCGCTTCCTAGGAAGGGCACTGTACTAAAGCCAGACAGACTCTTATCTCTAAATCAAAAGGAACTAATTTCTGGAGGTTCAAGTTAAGTAGATCTGGTTCAGAATATAGTCTTTGAATAAACCCCGCGTCACGTATTATGTGAAAAACAAGAGTGATTCAGCTGTTATATGCTTAGATCAGGTCTAAATTGGAGCAGGTTTAGGTAATATTTTTCAATAAATGTTCACTGTATAAATGGGTAACTTTGATGTAAAATTATGCATTTGCAAATAAAACGTTTACTTTTACTGTAACTTTTTAAAAATTGTAGTGTGAATGACATGGTGACAATATTACATTGGATATCTCTTTAAAAAGTGTATGATAATACCGTTTTAGCTTTCAAGTAGACTGTCTTTAGAGCTCAAAAATCTATGATTATTCTGTGTTGCAGTGTTTCAATAAAATTATCTCAGGGTAAACTTGAGTTATTTTATTTATTTGTTTTGAGAATCATAGAATTATAGGATGGTTTAGGTTGGAAGGGACCTTAAAGTTCATCTAGTTCCAAGATGAATCAGGAATTAATTTTGGTTTTATTTTTAGGA